AAAACGTTATACTTCTATGAATATTTAGAAAATTCAACAGTTAAATTTGGTATTATTCCTATAAATATGTATGTTAATTTTAAAATTAATTAAATGTATCTAAGTAGATTTTTTATTATACAAAATGTCCAAAGGATGGATTTTGAAAACTTTCTTTGGTTGATGGATGTTTTAGAAATTGAGAGATCTATTCTTCATGATATTCAAGATTGATGCGCACTACTCTCCTCTCTCTCACACACACATATATATAATCATGTCAAGATGGGATTTCCCACTTTCTTGTTGCATATCTGTTTGTTGGGTTTCCATATTTTGTCAGGATATGAAAAATACTTATTTAATAGCTTATTGAAATTCTTTGAGAGTGAAAGAAAGAAATGGCAGAAGTTCAAAATGCAAGAGCCTTCAGGTTCTTAGGTTGCTAGGAATAGATAAGATTCACATTTTTTTAGATTACCATTACCTTCAGCAAATCGAATAATATATGCAGATTGATTCTAGATCCTTCTTTCAGGAAGCACGAATTTCATAATACTTGCTGTGTTGACCTTTGTACTAAAAGCATCATGGTTTTTTCGACAGGTAATTTATATCCTTTCAAGTTTGACTTTTTACTTGCTTTGATGGATGAAAATACATTGCCTAGGAAAAAAAAAAGGGTTATGAAGCTCGTTTGAAATGGTTTACATTAAAGATTAAAGAATGAATGGACTGTGTTGAGATAGCTTTTTATCTAATGCTGGTTAATGTTCACTATTATTGGTGCTTACTCTGTTAAACAACTTAGTTCATGATTCCATGGGAATGTGTAGCATATATTAAACTAGGAGAATCTTCCTTTCACTAATCACTATGGCTTCTGTATTTTGTGTTATGGTGGCCAGTCTCATGGGTAAATTTCTTTCTGAGGAATTTTCTACAGTATCTTTCAAAAGTTATCTTGTGTGTTGTAGTTACCATCAGACTTGTATGTACCATATCCTACAACAAACAAATTTAAGTATGATGCTAGTCCTTTATATATATATATATATATATATATATGACACAGCACAATATTCTGAGGACATTATGTTCCCCATGAATGATTTGCAGCTTTAATTTTCAGGTGGTCTTGACTTTGCTGGTAGTGATATGGGGCATTCGCCTGGCACTGTTTCTATTGTTGAGGTACTGCAGTATAAAATATAACATATAATAGAAGTACCGTCCTTGTCCTCTATGGAGTCTCTTATGTATCTATATTGCTGATTTTATGTTTCCACTACAAGATAGGTCATGAACTGCTTCCAGTAGTAAGGCTAGAGATTCCCTGCATTTATGATCACTTTTATCACTTATGTAGATTGATTTCATTTTGTCTAAATCAACTGAATATAAGTATATGCCCAGAACACTCTGGTTTTCTTATGAGGTTCTCCACCATTGACCATTCTTTGGCCATCCTTGGTCTTAGAGTATTGTCTAGTTGCTGCTATTTTCCTCTGCAGATATTGATGTATATTGTAATATTCTCATCTCCAATGTTGAAGGGTTGTAACATCAACCGACTAGTTATGCTTCTTGATTAGTGTTGCCTATGAATGACCTTAGCATTATTATGTAACACTGTTCTTTTTTGGTCAAAATTTAACTTTGCAAAACCCAAAGATTTGCCTTTTCATCTCAATTTAATAATTTGGACTATCTTTCTTGGTAACAGTTGACCTGACAACCTCCCTTTGCTCTCTGTGTTTTTGAGTGAAAGAATTACAAAGTTGACTGTCATATCATTTGCTGTCAGTTACCAATGGACCATGTTACCATGAGAGAAATGAAGTTTGATTCTAAATCATGTAAGACTGGCTAGTAAGACAGGGGAAGCAAGTTCTGTTGACATAACATACTATCTGCTTTGTGAGGTTGGAATCCAACAAAACATTTTAGCCACTTATCTTTAGATTGGGAACTTAAAAACTCTGTCTAAATAATAGTTTTTCATTTGGTCTGATTTATGATAAATGAGTGATAAATGATAAATTTCTTCTTGTCATAAAATTTTCTTTTCCCTGGAGTCTCAGGTGTGTAGACTAGATCAGTTGGACAGTAACTGAACTTACATAATGCCTGTAGTGTTGGCACTCTTTCATTGTTTGTAAAGATGTCATCAAATAATGGGCAATTAATGAGCTTGCTATTTTTCATATATGTTATGCTATCATGTTGGTTCTCTAACTATTCTTTGATTTATTTCTTGCCATTATTGAAGGAATGCTGTTTATTACAATACTGCCTAAATAAATTTGTTCATATCCTAAGTTGGCAATGTTTGTCATCAGGATCCTGCACTGGGGAGAGGATCGCCGTTTTGATGAAATGCGTAATAATTTGGGAAAATTAGCTATCTTCTGGATATTTCAGGTTTAATAGCCTATGTTTTTATTTTCCCTGTATAATTTTAATACGTCACTTTTTCTTAATAGCTCATGGCTTGGGTATTTAATATTTGTAATTGTATCTAGCCAAATCTTTGTTTCTGTTGCAGGCTGTTTGGGTGTGGACTGTGAGTTTACCTGTGACAGTAGTTAATGCAAGTGACAGAGATCTATCTCTTCAAGATGCAGATATCATAGGTTGGATCATGTGGGCTGTTGGTATTGCAGTTGAAGCTACGGCTGATCAGCAAAAACTTTTATTCAAGAACTCTCCTGAAAACAGAGGAAAATGGTGCACTATTGGATTATGGAAATATTCCCGTCATCCAAATTATTTTGGGGAGGTGAGTTTTGTATCTTTCAAAGGGCTCCATTTTTTTTTTTTCTTTTTGATGTTTTTCAAAGGGCACCATTAACAAGCAAACTGGGCATTTTGATAATTTGTGCTTTGTAGGCTGCAAGAGCTGCACATCTCTTGGTAAAGATAATAGGATGTGGATTAATTTTAAATGAAAAGTATCTTAATGTTGTCTGCAGATTTTACTTTGGTGGGGAATTTTTGTTGCCTCTTCTCCTGTACTGGAAGGTGCTGAATGGCTCGTAATCGTGGGGCCAATCTTTCTGACATTGTTGCTTCTCTTTGTTAGTGGCATTCCATTACTCGAGGTTTGTTTTTCCTTGCCACAGGTTTCATTAATAAAGAATTGTGTACAACCTTACAATATATGTACTGTACCATATAATGGACACAGGAGTCAGCAGACAAGAAGTTCGGTAATGTGGGTCCATATAGGGTATACAAGAAGACAACTAGGTAAAGTTCATCTTTTCTTCCACTTCTTTGTTTATTCAAGTTTAATCCGGATGAAGTATCTGAATCTAACGAATTCTCTTCATTTTGTTGGGTTCCAATTAACTATTTCAGCCCTCTTATTCCACTGCCACCAGCGGTATACAGGAACTTGCCCTTGTGGTTCAAAGCAACTCTACTCTTTGAATTTCCTTTCTACAGTCGTAACCTTCCACAAGAAGAGCCAAACTGGTGAGTCTAAATGCATTATGATTGCTTTTTACGCATGCAATGCAATCTTAAAACCATTTTGCATGAGCAGGTTATGTGTATGCACTCTGATGTTTCTATCAGACAAAGATACAGGTTGGAATTAAAATTTTAGTGTGAGACTGTAGGGCCAAATTGGGGGCATGCATATAGTTTCCCTGTAAGGAGAAATATGGTAAGCCATGTTTGCTTGGAAATGGATGAGGCCTAAGGGCTGATTTGGTGGGATGGAATGCCTATCCACGGTGAAAGTATAAAATTAAGGAATGATAATTATTCACATGCAACAATTTCATCTATTAAGAGAGAGGCGATAGCTAAAACTCAGGCTAGGTGTTTTTAGCTATTCCTTCTGGTCATGTTTGGTTGGAGGAATGCCTAGGAAGGCAAAACTGGAAATCTTTCTTGGCTAGGAATATATGTCTTATAGATTTTGATCATTTTCTACCAAATTAGGGGATGAGTAAGGAATCTATAATATATAGGTTAAATGCCCGATTCAGTCCCTCAACTTTCATTTTTGAACTAAATTTACTCTCGAACTTCAAAAAGTACTAAAAAAATCCCTGAATTTCAATTTTTGATACCAATTTTGTTCTTCTGTCAGTTAAGTGCTGATGTGGCGAAATTTTTCGTTAACAAATTCAATTTCTATTAATATTAAATATTATTTGAAAATAAAATAAATGATGTGGCATCTTTTAATTATAAAAATATTATGACATGACATTAGGAATATAATTTAATAAATAAAAATTTCTTTCCTTTCTTTTTTTACTTTCCTTTCTTTTTTTTTTTCCTCCTCTTTCCTTTTCTCCTTCCCCTCCCTACTGGGTTCGAAGGAACCCAGGGCCTGGGTTCGAGGAACCCGCACCTGAGTTCCATCGAACCTAGGCCCTGGGTTCCTTCGAAGGAACCCAGGTGTGTTGGGTTCAAAGGAACCCAGGGCCTGGGTTCGAGGAACCCGGGCCTGCGCACCTGATTTCCATCGAACATAGGTGTGCTGGGTTCAAAGGAACCCGGGCCTGGGTTCCTCGAACCTAGGCGCAGGTTCAGCCTGGGTTCCTCGAACCTAGGCCCTGGGTTCGATGGAACCCAGCTCCTGGGTTTGAGTCGAACCTGCCTGGGTTTTTTCTTCTGTTTCTTTGTTGGCTGCAATCATGCTTGGCTATCTTAGCATGGGATTTAGAGTTTTGTGTGGCTTTTGCTTGCTTGAATTTCAAGATCTGGTTACTGTTGGTGTTGATTGAAGGGATGTTGTGTTTTTTATATTTTTCTTTACAGATCTCGTATAAGTTTGCAGAGTAATTGTTTTTTTGAATCAGATCTATTGGTCATTATTATTGTGCGAGGAACTAAATTTGAGTTCCATTAGAGAGGAGGTTTGGGGAAGAAGGAGATGGTGATTGGAGTGATAAGGGATAACCGGAGCAATGAGGGATGATCGTGTTGATTGGGTTGCACGATGAAGAGACATCTGAGGATAAAGAGAGACTTGGAAGGTGAAGATGGGGTATTTAAGGAAATTTAAATTTTTTAATATATAAATTAATTAAAATGATGTGGACAATAATGAGTTAAGATATTTTCCACGTAATTGAAGATTTCAAACAAGAATTAATTTCGTGGTAACTTAATGTGCCATCTGGCAGTTCCATCGACGGAAGGACGAAATTGGTCTCGAAAATTGAAGTTCAAGGATTTTTTTAGTACTTTTTGAAGTTTGAGGGTAAATTTAGTTCAAAAATGAAAGTTGAGGGACTGAACCGGGGATTTAACCTAATATATACTGCTAAATTAGGCTATTCCTTGTTTCTTCCCTAATCTAAAAGTTTCTTAATTTTTCCATTTCTTTTAAGGAATAATAGGCAAATTAACCCGCAAAATAATTTTCATCAGCAAATAAGCCGCTGATGAAACCGTTAGTAAACCCACCATGCTACATCAGATAAATTAAATGTTGATTAACGTTTTCCATTAACTTTGAAGAGATTTGATGCTGTTTGTAAATTCAGAAGTGGATTTGCCACCAAAGCTCAGTCAGAAGTTTATTTGCTTGCAAAATTTTTATTTTTTTTGGGCTTGCCTATTATTCCTTTTTATGGTTGAATAAATTTATAATCATCCCTCCAGTCGAGAGCGCTCATTGTTTTATCATGTTAGAAGAAAATTCGTAAAAATCATTTTTTTTAATCTAATTTGGCTTGCATGCAGAATTTTATCTTAATGTTGTTTATACTTTGTCATTATGAAAGAGTAAATAAGTACTTAATGTTAGGTCTGCTTTACTTACTGAACTAGAAAAGCAGAACCGTGTCCGGATCGCTACTTATCTGCTTTGTTTCACTCATGGCTTCCTCTTTCTTTTCCCTTGGATTTGCACTCAGTAACACTAATATTATGTTGGTAACATTATAAAGTTGTAGCAGTCAGCGTCGCGAAGGAATCCAACTGCATCGTTGCTTGATTATTAAAGTTGTTTCATTTGTTACACTAATTTACCAGGCCTATGACATTTTCCATTTTTGCAAGGTGTAGAACAAGCCAGGAAGAGAACAAAGACGGATTGAAGATTCGCTAGCTCCCAATAAATTTACCGTGTTCATTAACATTTTATACCCTGGTGTGTGATCACTGGAAATTGAATCTTGAAATGCTGATACCTTCACACGATGGCAAGTAGGGTCTTGTTCTACTAATCTTGGAATGCCTTGCATGGGCGTCCATTTCCTGTTGTCATCTTCTTAAAAATACATCTAAAACTTTAACTTTGACAATTGTGTTCGGACCCGTGTGAAAGTTTAATTGAAAGTTTACTAGGATGTGCAGTTCAAAAACCTTTTTTTCCCTGGTGATGCTGCTGTTAATTTCTAAACAGGATTCAAGTTTGGAAAACACAACAGAGATAAGAGAACTCTGTTTCTATGATCTTGCTTGGTTTATACTTTAATTTACTCTGCCACGATTACAATTCACAAAACAAAAACATCAACCAGTTTCTTGTTCATTTCTTGAAGTCAGCTACTTCATACATCTCTAGACCCAACAGTTTGATTTTCCTTCGTGCTTTGATTTTGTAGCTTCCGCGGTCTGTCCGTAAGCTAATTTTATCACCCACTTTGAGACCTTTGTGGCGTCGATGATCATACCAGCCCCCTCGAAAAACTTGTGTCAGTTGGTTTTAGGTGCCCATTCCTCCAAACATAATACCCAAACTGCCAAATTGTTCCTGAATTAACTCACGTCCACGACTGGAAAATATACCGTTTCGTCTCCTCTGGACCCGGGAAGGTGCTGAACAAAGTCCCTATTGACCGCAATTTGTTTCTTCACATCTGTTTCACGTAGAAATTTGCGAAAAGAAGGCATTGCTACTTGTAGAGAACCCTGGGATATCACCTAACCTAACTCAGGATTTATACATATCCTGATTGTTGTGCTTTTTCAAGACTTATGCATGCCCTTTTTATAGATCAACCATGGCTTTCTTATGCAAAGAGTTGAAAATTGTTATATTGCAAGTGAGCATTTCCAAGGGGTGATGTGGAGATTCCAGAACTCCAATCAGTTTGGATGACGAATGTTGACCTTCCGGGGTTATTTTATTTTATTTATTTATTTATTTATCTTGGCCTTTCTGTTTTTTAGACAGCATGAGTGTCATAATTTTCTATCTAACCAATCTCACTTGAATTTGTAAATTATTTTGTTTGTTAATACTAAATAAAACTCTACTGTCTAAGGCAAAAATTATTTATACTTAAATGACAAAAGAAAACCCCAAGCTGCATTATTGGACATAGTTCAAATTTATTTTTATCACTTGATCCGACCTGAGAGACATACTCTGCTTTCTGTACGGAATGGATGACTATTTCATCTAATCTACATCTCTAGAAATTTCTGCAAAGAGTTCTGTAATTACAGATTAAAACGAAGATTAATAATCTCTACTTCTATTTAGTACTATAAAGATTAATAATCCTTGCCAAATACTGATATATAGAGTATAAAATAAACTATATCTCCATTTAACTTTAGTTAATTTATTTTATTTTGATAAAATGTAAGTCTTTATACATTGATATTTGTTGGTCTGAATGAAAAGAATTCAATTTTTTTTAAGTAAAGTCTCAAATTCGACTTTTGTGAATGGAGAAACAATTGCTGGAGAATTTTTCCTTAATGGGGTCTGGCTCTATTCAATTTCGAATTAGTTAAGATCCAATGTAATTATTAAATATGAGGAGATTAGTAAAACAACAAAAGAATTGAAGTACAACAGAGCAGCAAAATAACAACTCCAACTAGAAAAGAGAAACTACACAAACATAATCCGTTTAGAATTAGTTAATGTTGTTGAGTGAGAAAATTTTATATAAAGAATATAATTTTTCAATTGATTTTAAGTTGAATGTAAACCTTATATTGCAATCCACATACCAAATTTTTACATGATTTCAAAACCCTAACTCCATTTTTGAGAAGTCTATAACTCTGTTTCTAAGAAGCCCATTGTTAACCTACTAACTTTTCATATGTGTTAAATATAAAGAGAGTTACTCTACTTATTATCAATAAGTTTTAAATTAAATACAAGTTTTGTGTTGAAATTTATGTGTCGATTTTCACACATGTTTGTACGCAGTAGCTCTAGGTATAAAAGACAAAGTTGCCTTAGCAAATCCAAAAGTCTTACCCTTAACTTCAAACTGGATGTCTACAAGTACTACTGCCTCGCTTTTAAATTGTTTATGGTGCAATCTTCTATTTCTTTTCATCCATATATGATAATAGTCGAAAAATAAAATTTAATTTGATATGAATTTTAAATGAAAATTTAATGAAAATTAAATTTTTTTTATCAAATAAAATTATTCAACAAAGACTACATATAAGAAAAAGAAAATTTTTTATTGTCATTAATATATTTTTTAAAATTTTCATTTAAAATTTATATTTGAAAAGTCAAAAAATCATATTAAGGGGCATGGTTATGGCCACTAAATTTATATTTAATTTGATTGATATTTGTTATTATTTTTTTTAAATAGATAGTTATAATATCTTAAAATATCAATTTATAAACTAATTTTAATTTATTAAATAATAAATATTAATTATTCTATTAATTATTATTTATTTTTAACAATCAAATTAAATAAAATCCTTATTTTTTAAAACAATTTTGGTGAGCTCAACAATTTGAATGTGACTAAAACTACACCCAAATTAAGACTACTATTAAAGTTAAACAAAAAGGGTATTTTATTTGCATAAAACAATAGGTAGTGATATAGGAATAATTTTTTTATGTAATATTTTTATGTAATTTTTACATGTTATTAAATAAGTAAATATAATTAATATCACATATTCTAAATAAATAAAAAGAGTTAATAATTTAAATGACCATATGAAGTTGTATAAAAAAATAATATGAAAGAATTATTTCTAAATCATTTTCCTAAAACAATATATGAGTTTAGAAAAGGCAAAAACCCCTCTTAAGACCCTCAACTTTTTCAACAATAATTGACCAGCCCCTAAACTAAAAAAAGAGCAAATAAGCCCTCCAACCCTAGAATTGAAGCGAATTAGCCCCTCTAATATCTGAACTCCTGACGCCGTTTGTTTAATGGCTAGCATGACATTTAATTTAGGTTAAAACCCCTTTTTGGTCCCTCAACTATTGTACGGACCCCCGATTTGGTCCCTAAACTCAAAAAATCCCTGATTTGATCCCTATTGTTTACCATTTTTACCTCGATTTGGTCCTTCCATTAAAAATTCAATGATGTGTCCAGTTAACTAACAAAAAATGATGACATGTCAAAATATTACTACAAATCAATACCATATCATTAAATTAAAACACGTCAGATTTCAGCCAACAAAAAAAATGTGGGGCTCACCTCCTGCAAAAATCACTATCTTCTCTCCTTCTTCCCATTCACACACTTGGGTTCTTCAAACCCCAGCAGCTGGGTTCCCTCGAACCCGTGCCTGGGTTCCTTCGAAAAACCCAGCAGCTGGGTTCTTCGAACCCCAGGCACTGGGTACCCACGCCTGGGTTCCTTGACAATGAATGAAATTATGAAAGTCACGGTGAGACTTTATCATCATTGGCATGTGGAGAGAGTGCAGCAAAGTCTCAAATTTACTCTAAAATTGAAATTCATAAGTTTAAGATTGAATTTAAAATACATGTTTTTATCTCTTTGAAATATCCAAAGACAAATACATATATTTCACCCAAATTCAATTATACTTTAATTAACTGAAACAAACAATAATATTGAATTTAAGGTGCTCAAACTTAAATACACTTTACCAAATTCACTTTCCCAAACAGACTATGTTTATAAACGTTTTGAACTCTGATGTGTGGTCACTGGCAATTGAATCTTGAAATGCTGATACCCTTACACAATGGCAAGTAGGGTCTTGTTCTTCTAATCTTGGAATGCCTTGCAAAGCCGTCCATTTCCTGTTGTCATCTTTTAAAAATTGCATTTAAAACTTGAATTTTGACAATGAGTTCATGTAAGGATGAGTCTAAGATCATTGATCTCGAACATATTATATGTACATTATTTGGACTCCAATTACCTTCCTAGGCTATGTTTGAGCTCGGATCACTTAACAATTGAGGTATGACCCAAGTTGAGCTCTTCCCAGTTGCAAGATGACTATGGTGAGAACGCACTCATATAATCCTCATTCCCAAGATGCTTGTTCTTATGGACACATTAGATCTCGATTGTTTCATTAAAAAAGCTATGTGGACACTGTATTAAGGCCTATAAATATCTCTAAGGGTCACTTGTTATAGGTAATTGAATTTGATATAAAACTTTCTTTTCATTCCTTTTTAAAGTAGACCAAATTATTGTCTATCCCAATAACCAACCTCGGGGCTTTGCAAGTTTATTCGTAGAGAAGACTTGGATTGGAAAAGACTTGAAGGTTTATTGCAATTACAGTTTGGATCTGTGTAAAAGTTTAATTGAAATTTTATTGAGATGTGCAATTCAAAAACAACTCTTTCCCGGATGATGCTGATGTTATTCCAAGCAGGATTCAAGTTTGGAAAACACAGCAGAGAACTCTGTTTCAATGATCTTGCTGTCTTTGCTTTTTTCCAGAAGAAGATGATTACAAACAAAGAAAAAAAAAAAGAGAGTAAAATTATAACATAGAAATATCATATATGCTATTACACATCATATCAAACCCAACAAACAACCAGATTTCAAACATGACATTTATCCAACTCCAACCACAACCGGAAACAGACACAATATACAAAACATAACAAGATACCCTCACTTAAGCTGCCACAATATCACAATTCACAAAGCAAAAACCACAACTGGAAACAGACACAACCCTACAAAACATAACAAGATAACTTACGCTGCCACGATCAAAATTCACAAATCAAAAGCATCAACCAGCTGCTTTTTCATGTCAGTACTCCATACATTTCTTGACCAAACAGTTTGATTTTCCTAAGTGCTTTAATTCTGTAGCGGCCACGATCTGCCCAAAAGATTATTTTATCACCTACTTTGAGGCCTTTGTGGCGTCGATAATTATGCCAGCCACCTTGAAAAGCTGGTTTCAGGTGCCCTTTCATACGAACATAATACCCAAAATTCCAAAGTGTTCCCGAGCTTATGTCCACGACCGGAAAATGTACCGTGGCCCCTCTTCTGGACTGCGGAAGATGCTGGACAAAGTTGCTATCAATTGCCATTTGTTTCTTCACATCTGAATCACTCAGGAATTTGCTAAAAGAAGGCATTGCTACTTACAGAGAACCTTGCTGTATCGCCTAACTCTAGATTTATATTGCTTTTTCAAGGCTCATGCACGCCCTTTTTACATGTGAAGGCATGCACGCCCTTTATATGGAAAATGAACTGTAGAGCCTTTGGTTTAATACACCAATATCTGTCTAATTTAATTATTAAAATATAATATTAAAAATATAATTAATTTAATTAATTTTTATATATTATATGTATGATAATATTTTTAAATTTAATATTTATAATTTTATATATAAAAAAAGTAATAATAATATTTTAATAAAGATATTTTATGATGTGTTGAATAAAAAAAATATAAATCATGTTCTCTTTATATTCATCTAGACCAGGCTTGTGAATGAGCTTGTGTGTAAGTGGGTTCGAAAGTCTTTGTAATGTTGTTTTTAATCAAATGAGGTCAAAGTAGTGACGAAATCAGAATATACTTTTAGAGGGATCATATAAGATTTTAATTAACAAATAATGAATTTCATTGTGTGTCATTTTAAAAAGTCAAAAATATTTTAAATAATATTTGTTAGTTTTTAACTATAAATTAATAGTAGTTAATAATGTAGTGTAAACATCATAATTAAAAGACGAAAATAAACATTTATTAAATAGAAAAATATATACTATGAAGAAAAAGATGAAGTAAAGACATTAGTAGACAAATATTTTATAAAAATATAATAAACAATTTTTATTCAATTAATTTTTATTTTTTCCCATATTTCATATTATTTTTATTTTTCTCATCTTTTTCTTTGTTATTAAATGTAATCTTCAATAACATACAAGAAAATGATTAAAATGTATGAAATAAGCAAGGAAACAAATGATAAAAATAAAACATAAGGGATGAAATTAATTTTTTACAAAAAGTTTAGGAGAGCCTATACCCTCTCAGATAGAGGTATGGGTAAGGTATTTATTCATATTTGTATTTGATTTAAACAATGATAAGTATACGGTTTTAATACTTAATACTTAGTCAAATATTGAAAATTTGCACTTCTTACTTATAGGTATATTTGTACAATAGTTGAATATTATAATTTATGATACTTATTAAAATATAATTAAATATATTTCAAAACAAATACTTTTTATTCATGCATAGTGCATATGCTTAAAACAATAAATGAGTTTATACTCATAACAAAATACATAAGTTGAAACCAAAACACAAGTTCATACATATAAAAACATAAGCAAGTACATCTTACAAATATACAAATTCATACATATAACAAAATGCGTACAAACACAATTCCATAAAATCTTTCTTCATTACAATCTTCTGTGCATGAAGACAAAAAGCTTAAGCATTTCAGTTTCATGACATTATACTGCAAAATTAAGCATAGAATTAGGATATGATCATTATATTTGTAAAATTCTAGTCTACTTAAGCAACTATGTGTGAATTGTAATGATGTTATGAAGTATTTTAGTTTGATGTTTAAAAGTATACTCATATATTGCTAATTGTTTATACAATCAAGATTCAACTAAATTTATTTGTTTTTGAGAGGTAGAATAGAACATATTTTTATGAGTAGATATTAGAAAAAATAACTAATGTATTAAGTGGATATATATATATATATATGAAAAAATAATTTGTTAATTATCCTCTTAAAATTTTTTAGAGGATATATCTAAAAATTTATTTTTTAATTAATATTTTTAAAAATTAACCATTTAATCGAAAATTTTATTTATATAGATCATGCATACTAATTTTTAAATTATTTTAATAGGCTTAATCATTTTATTGATTATACAAAATTTAACATTATTAAATATATATCAATAAATATAATTTTCCTAATTTAAAGATTATAAATGTTAGATATTAATATAAAAATTAATATGCATGATTTATATAAATAAAATTTTTAATCTAATAATTAGTTTTTAAGAATATTAATTTAAAAAGTAATTTTTTTAATACATTCTCTAAAAAAAATTTAAAAAAAATACCTAATCTATATTTTTCTCATATATATATAAGTATAACTTAAATATACAAATATAAACTCTCATACTTAATATTTAGTCCAATAATTTATAAATATACATTTTTTATATTTAATATTTAATGTCTCTTTTTTAATATAAGTAAAATACCTAACTAAACATTTCCGAAATGCACAAACATCAGACGTACTAGTACCCAATATTCTGCCCTACCTCAGAGGCCCCATTCGGGCTCCACCATTGTGTCGAACGCCTTCTTATTTCTATCAAACGGGGTCGAACGCGAAATGGGGTCGAACGCCTACTTAATTTTACCAAACGGAGTCGAACGCCTTCTCATTTGTCTTCTTCTTCTTCTTCTTTTTTGTCTTCTTTTTTTTTTTTTTTTTTTTTT